AGTAAGTTCTAGAAGCTGGTCAGAGACAGCAACATGGAGCTGAGAACACTTGCAAGGTGCTGGGGGCAGGGCACACGATCTACTCTTTCAGAGAGGTTGCAGAAGGATATGGAGAATGCCTGCTTTCCAACTGGCATCTGTTTCCCCGAATAATCCCACAGTTGTTGGGGGAAGACCTGAGAGGCCGAGTAAACAGGGGCCTACTAGCATGCCTGTCACTCATTACGGTCCCAGGTGTGTTTCTAGATGGCCTTTTAAGATGACCTCTATCATCAAGTTCAGCAGCACCCACACCACCACTATCACCCCAATAACAGAACCGGGCCCATGCTTGTAACATGCCAACACCCTCTCACTGACCTTCCCCACTACTGTAGAAGGTAGGTTTTGCTATTACCCCCACTTGACAGATGCGCACACTGAGGCCAAGAGAAGTGAAATGACTTGTTCAAGGTCACAGAGCAAGAGAGTGTCTGAGTCCAGACAGGTCTGCCTTACACTGAAGGCTGTCAGCCAGCACACTTAGATACAACACGACACTACTCTACAGTTTGTACAGCCTCTAGGACTCCTCCTTACAACTATCTCTCCTGATTTTCACATTGTCTCCATAGGCAGCTATTGAACCACTTCATAGCCAGAGAGTTTGTCTGAAGAACATGAGTGAGTCACCACGGAGAGCTAGGGGCAGCCTACTGATGGTCCCCTCACCCGTGGGTCAGGGAAAAACATATGTGGAAGAGGCAAGGCAGAGCACGAGGAGACCCTGTTGGATGCAAGCAAGAGGATTTTGCACAAAGTGAGGCAGTGGCTGTCTTAAAATGGCAGCCAAGGTAACTGTACCAGCTTTGTCCCACTTGGGGTGGCCAGGCTCTGTGGCTGCCAATAGATGTCCTCATCATTCTCAGTGAAGTCCCTGTGGGAGAGACTGTGGGCTCAGGCTGCCTGTGTGGATGGGATCCCTACTGTGAGCATGCTTTTCCTCCCAGCCCGGGCTCAGATCCCCAGAGACTTGTGGGCCAGCCTTCCGGGCTTTGAGCTTTGATAGCAATGTGGCTGCTGCATGACCCCCGTTAACCTCCAAAGAGGCAAAGGGGGGTGTGTGTTTTGGAAGTCACCTCCAGGCCAGCTCCTGCCTGGCCCAGCCTTGTAAATTTCACCAGAGTCCAGGAGATAAAAGCAGGGCATCCCTCAGAGGCAGCATACAAAGGCCTTCAAAGAATACTTTCAATCAAAACTAAGCAAAGGAGTAAGGTCTGGCATTCACGAGGGACACGGTTAACACCCTTGTATGTGTGTGTGTGAGTGTGTGTGTGTGTGTGTGTGTGTGTGTGTGTGTGTGTGTGTTCCCTTTTCCTTTCTCTAATCTCAGCCCAACTCTTGGCCTGGTCTGCTTTTCCAGCCCTAGGATGCCAGGGTCAGGCCTGAGCCTCACAGTTTCCTTCCTGACCTTTGCAGATGCTAGGTCCCTGCAGTCTCTGTCCAGCCTGAGAACCAGATTTCCCCCCCTCAGCTTCTCGTCCCCATTCATTCTGCACCATTTCGTGCTGCCATCACCTTCTGGGGCTAGTTAAGGGAAGTCACGTGAGCTCAAGCAGGTTGGAAACACGTGGGACTGATGGCTGGGAAAGTCAGGGAGCTCCCTAGCTGAACCCTGCCTCTTCACAGTTAGGGAGCCCACTCCAGGAAAAGAAAAGCATGCCAGAGTCACAATGAGATTGGGACAAGATTCAGATCCCCGAATCCTACCCACTGCCTTCTCTCCCATGGAGAACATCGCCTTTCACCCCACCACAGGGCCTCAGCAGGCTGCCTGTTCCCCTCAGCCTCCAGCCTTAGCCGCTGTGGCATCCGTGCACTCCCAACCCCCTTGCTTGTTAGTCTGTCTTCATGGCACATTATCTCCTCATCTGAAGGCTGCTTTATAGCATAATGTCTTTTTAACTAAGGTAAAAGAAAATGAACACACATCTTTTGGAATAATCTGATCCCACGTGATCGTGGCTGGCACCCCGGGGTGCGCTGAAGCCAAGGTAGATAATTACTCTTCTGTACTGAGTCAATTAAATATAAAAAACAGCCACCACCAAACCTCTTGCTGGTTTCTTGTAGCTTGCTGCTGCTTCTTCTTTTTCCCTGCCCCCAACTTATTCCAGCCTGGGGAGAAAGGAAAGAGAGACACGGGGTGAGAGGCACTGAATCAGCCTTGGCAGCTGAAGGCAGTTTTCTATGTGTGGTCCAATCTGGGGCAGAAACGTCCTGTATGTGCTGGGGGCATGCTGTCCCCACCTACACAGGTGGAGAGAAGAGGGATGTAGCCCATTTCCAGCCCTCTGTCCATATGGACATATGGATGGTTCTGGCATTCATAATGTCTTTGTTGGCCAACATGCATAAACTTGCAAAATGATTTCCAAATTGTAATCCAAAGTTTGCCCCCTTTAGAGGAAAGCTGAGTATGGAGAAAAAAATAAAAAAAAAATCTGGGGTCATCATAATTTACTTTGGTTAATTGATTTGGAGTTCTGAAAAAAAAAAAAAAGAAATCACGGAGGAAGGAACAGATGCTGTGTTTGCCCCTTGCCTGTTTTGTCGTCTTAATCTTTTTAAAAAATGTTTAATTAGTGTATGTGTGTGAGCATGCGCATGTATGCGTGTGGGGGGTGCGTATGTGCACGTCCGCATGTGTGTGTGTGCTGTATTCCCGAGTATACAGTGGCATGCGACAGTGTCCCCATATTGCCCTGAGGGAGGGTCTCTCACCGAACTGGAGGCTTACTTCCAGTTTGGGCTCAGTGAGCTCCTGGGACGACCCACCTGTCTCCACCCCCATCAATGCTAGGGTTATAGGCATGCCTAGCTTTTTATGTGGGTGCTAAGGATATAAATCTAGGTCCTCACGCTTGCACAGCAAGTGCTTTTGCCCACCAAGCCACTGGGTAGTCCCAATCTTAATCTTCATGAGTGTGCGTAGGGGGTGGGGGTAGGGGAAGTAGAGGTCAACCTCAAGTGTCACATGTTCACCTTGAGGCAGGGTCTCTAATTAGTTTGGAGCTCACCAACTAGGCTAAGGTGGCCAGCCAGTAAGCTCCAGGGACATACCAGGGCACGGCTTCAGGTGCACTGAGGTTGCAAGCATGCACCACTAATAAAAGTTTAGGCGTGGGTACTAGGGGATCAGTGCTTGCACAGCGAGTGTTTGGTTGACTGAACCACCTCCCCAGTCCCTTGCTGTCTTAATGTTTACTTCAGTTCTGTATTCCAATGGTTTTAACTCTTGCTCCTCCTCGGGTCTCAGACAGGGCTACGCCCCTATGCTAGGGCACACCCGCATCCACAGGCATAGCACTGCACCTGCAGGCCTCTGGGGCTGCCTCTGTCGCTCCGCATTCAGCTCAGAAGCTACACTCAAGGCAGCACCACTGTCACTGAGAGGCTGGGGTTCCGAAGGGCCTCAGAACACTCCTGAAGGGTCCCCCAAATGGAGATGCTGACAATCTTCTAATCAGACCCCACTCTGTCACCCAGGGGCTGATTCACTTGGTGGCAGTCATCAACACTTTCACCGAAATATGGAAAGAGCCACTCGTATTTCCCCTTCTTTATTAAAAGTCCTCTTTCATCTGCACTCCAGTGTCTTTGAAGGATGGCTCTACTTGATTAGGGTCTAAGTTTGCTAACTTGTACTGGGGAACGAATTGAGGATGGAAGATCTGCATGAAGATGCTGAAAGCGAAACTTAATAGATTCTCTATTCCTGAGCCTGAGTGAGGGTCTGTACTAGGTTCTATCGGAGTCACATCAGCATCGGCATTAGGTACTATCCATTGCTGAGACCAAAAGCCTGACCAAAAATACATTTTGGTTCACAGCTCAAAGGAAACAGTCCACCACAGCGAGGAAGGCATGGTAGCAGGCTCCTCTGTCCATGGCAGCAGGATTGTTGCAACATGGCTTTTCCTCACATCTCTATGATCAGAAAGTGAGAGACAGAGTGTCCCAGGCTGCTAAAATATAACCCACAAGCTCCACCATCCGGCCTTGTCTTCTAGCTAGGCCCCGCAGGTTCCAGAGGGTTCTGCAACCTCCCTCAACCACTAAAGACCATCTGTTCAAACACAAGAGCCCATGGGAGAGAGCCACATCCAAAGCACAACAGTGTCCTAATTTCTCCGCCATGGTTTGGCAGTCATCAGATGTGTGTGGCCATACACACATGCTCTGGGTACCAAAACCTACTCATCACTAATGGACTTGCGGACACTTTGTTTTCCTTCCTGTTTTTGATTAACTATATTGCCTGGGTGATAGATGTGGCGCTTAACTATTCACTCCTAAATATTAAAATATAGGTTGGAATCAGTTGCCATGAGTGAATCCTATGTATGACCCAGAACTTTCCTTTTAATTGGTCCAGTGGGTGGTTCAGATAGGCGGCCCCATAGGCTACGTTTTGAGCACTGTGTTGGAGAACTGCTGTAGAGAATTGAACACCCTCTTTTTGTGCATATTGATTTGTGGATGAGGCTAGGGAATCTTGGGCAAGCACAGTGAGTAAGCTTGATGAGTTCTCTACTTAGGCCAAGGATGAGCTAAAACTAAGTCCAGGCCCGGGGGCTTTCTTAGAGCCCCGGGTATTGGCTTGTAGACAAGAAGAAAGGGCTTCTTCTCAGACAGGACAGATTTAAATTGTATCCCGGGAAGAATTTCTGACAGAGAATATTGAGAAAACTTGCCCGGAAGGCCTTCTCTCCTGGAACCTTTGGAAATTGTACCTGAACAGTGATTGTGTGCCCTCTTGCTTGTATATTACCTGTGTATTCAGAGGGGCCCGACAATAGGTAGGTAGACCTGAGTCACAGCTTCAACATAGAGTGATGGTTCAGACCCATACTGAGCCAAGACGCCTGACGAGAATAACACCTTCTTAGCAGGGACAGCCTGTGGTCACTGATCTCCTGTGTCCTACATGCTATGATAGCCTCTCTCTCTCCTTTCAGAAAGCGGATCTGGCTGTGGCAGGCCTCACCATCACAGCTGAACGTGAGAAAGTGATTGATTTCTCCAAGCCATTCATGACACTGGGAATTAGTATTCTTTACAGAGTTCATATGGTAAGAGACTTATTTTATAAGCATTTATGCCATTAAAGTTATTTGCATGCAAACACCGAGTTATATGGTAATAATGAATGACTCACAGAAATATTTAGCTTTCGGGACTTAAATGCAAATGCACTGGGGCTATTTTCTCCTCCATCAGCTGCAGGAACTTACAAACAGAAGAGATGGAAAAGTCGCACTTGGGATATTTCCAGCAAAGAAGGATTCTGTCTCTAAATAGGGATGGCCGGGAGTGCCACTTGGTACATAGTGTGCCGGGGACTGGCCTCAGTCGGGCTCTTCCAGGAGGTAGGGGCCACAGCTTAGATGAGACTGCCAGCATGCTCAGTGCTCCTCTGCCTCCAGGATCCACTGTGTTCGTTCTGGGCATTGTAAGAGTGTGGGGGTGTGGGCTTTGCCCTTTCTTGCTTCTTGGTGCTGGTGAATACAAAACGAGCTCTATACCTGCTAAACCTGGCCGTCTACATTCCTTGTTTATTGGCTCTTATTTTTTTTAAGGTTTTTTTTTTTGTTTTTTTTTTTTTGTTTGTTTGTTTTTTTTTTGTTTTTTTTTTTTGGCTGCGAATAGGAACACAACAGTAGTCAGCCAAAGATGGAAATGACATCTGGATGTCTTGCCTGGTGGAAAGAGGAGGAAAGAGCCACCCTGGCTGTGTGCCATCCATCAAATGGATCATCACTCTGTGGCCAGCCAATAGTGGAAACTTTTTTTTGCTTCCATTTTTAGAGCAGAAGATTCTTCCTCTCCTCCTTCGTCTAAACTACCTCTAGGTGTACAGCTGTCATATAGATTTCCCTGTATTCTACTCACTTTTCAGTGGTCATAATTTAACTGTCACATTCTCCAGGATGCAACCTGACACCGTGAGACATGATGACAACGGCTCTCCTTTATTGAATACCTCTGTGTCCCAGACACTGTGAGGTAGATTCTAGTTTGGGAATGAATTGTGTCCCTTTAAAATACGTGCTGAAATCCTAAGCCTCAGTACCTAAACATGCAGCCTTGCTTGGAAACAGAGTTCTTTCCAGTGTTAGGAAGAGTTAAGATAAAGTCTAGCCGGTGAAACAACCAGAGGCTGCATACAAGCCCTCCAAGTCTGCCTCTCGGGAGAGGAGACCCCATGTGTCTTTGCAGCTCTAGCCTGACTCACAGAGATGCTGCTTTGGAGGAGAAACAACAGTTTGCCAGTGTCACTCCTGTAAGTAAATCTTAATCCCCTGGGAATCAAGGAGGGCCAGCATTTGGAGCTGTGACCAGGTTTCTACAGGACACAAAGTCACTCTGTTGCAGAGCCCATCTAGCAGGCTTGACTTATCAGAGATGCATGTTCTCTGCTGGGCTACCTGGCTGGGAAAGGTGGCCAGAATGTCTAGAAAAGATAAGAGTCGAATGTTAGGCTCCCCAGACAGAGGCGAAGGCAGTGAGGACTTTGTTACAGCTGTGTCTTGTGGAGTAAGGAGGCTGTGATCCTCCAAGCCCAGATTCTCCCTTGTCCTCCTGTAATGAAAGCTCCCATTGACTTAAAGCCTCTATGTCCCACACACACTTGTGAGTAGCTGTGATGGGGGGTCTGGTTTGGTGTTGAATTGTGTCCTCTTCAAAGTACACGTTGAAGTCCTCATTTTCAAGATCCATGCTCATGACCTCATTGGGAAATAGAATTCTTGCCAGTGTTATAAAGAGGTGAGTGTAAAGTCATGCTGGATTTGGACAGGTCCTTACCCAGTGACTAGCCAGCATCCTTGCAAAAAGAGGAGAATTTGGCTGGATGAGGTGGAACATGCTTTAATCCCAGCAGTAGAGAGGCAGAGACCGCTGTGAGTTCAAGCCCGGTCCTCTCTACCTAGCAAATTCTAGGCCAGTCCAACCTACTTAGTAAGATCTTGTCTTAAAGACAATTTTTTTAAAAAGGGGGGGCGGGGAGATTTGGACACAGATACATAGGAGAAAAGGCCATGTGGAATCAAACACAGAGATTGCGGGGCGGCATCTCCATGCCAACAAGCCTCAGGGATCTCCAGCGACCACACAGGTTAGGAGAGATGAGAACCCTCTCCGAGAGGCTTCAGAGAGAGCCAGGCTCTGCTGTCACATCAATTGGGCCTTCTATCCCCAGTTACTGGGAGATGACACACTTCTGTTGTTGTAAGCCTCCCGGCTGTGGACTCTGACTTGGCCAGCCTAGGAAACTAACACAGTTGTTCTGTGCTTATTTTAGAAACGAGGACAGGAGTACGATCAGTTTTAAAAGTAGGTCAAGGACACATGCTAGGAATTCACCCATGCTAATCATGTGTTAGTAAGCCAAAGAACAAGGTGTGAGTTGAGCTGTCTTTGCTGTATGTAGGCAGCTGGACGCCCTCTCCAGTGTGGTCTTTGGTAACTTCCTGCAGGGTGCGCCTTTTCCCATTGGGTCCTCTGGACTGTTCTCTAAGGGAAAGTGGGTGGGCGCTAAAATCCCATCTGACAGAGCAGGAGACCAAACTAACACTTGTGGTTATCTCAGAGAAAGGCTTCGAATCCAAGCTTCTCACTCCAGGATGGCAGTTTTGACTTCCAGCAATCCCCATGTCTCCAGCTTCCTTTTTCCTTTCTCTTGAGCCCAGAGAGGGCTTCCAAAAGCAATGGAGACACACACCACATTGTTTCTCCGTACTGCCCTGATCTGGACATCGGTAGGAACACAATCAGGCCGCGGCTTTGGCTTCTCAATACTGAGGAAGCTAGAACCTTGATGGTGACCTGATGACCTATGGGCATCCCTGTGGCTGGAGACACCCAATCCCAGGTATTGTCACCCTCCAGTACCCACATCTAGGCTGCTCAGGAAGGGCATCACAGTATCAAATAACAACTCTGTCCAGCACTACATCATAGTCACCACCCTGTGGACATCCTAAATGAGATTGTCAAACAATTATTTACTATCTCCTACCTCACAAATCTGTGGCTGTGTTACTCCCCTGTAACACATTCTGGGACAGTAAGTCTATGTGTCAGCTTGCAAGGCTACAGCTTCTCCAGATGTGTGGACTACCATTTGTCCAGGAGCTTTTTAGAAATGTGTTATGGAGGTGCAGCGACATCTGTAATTGATTGCCTAGAACTCTCTGGCATAGAGACGCCTCCTTCAAACTTTTGCCTTTGAATCTATTCAGCCTCTCCCCATGTGTCTATATCCAATTTTCCCTTTTTATAAGGACACTCATCATTGTGACAGGGATCACCTTAATCCAGTATGATTTTATCTTTACTCTCCATAACATTGGCAAGGACTCTATTTTTAAATGAGGTTTCATAGTCACATATACAAGTTATGGGAGTTAGGACTTCAACACTATTTTGGGAGGAACTTAATCCAACCACAAGAATATCAGTGGGTGTTTTTCAATTAGATTAATACTATAAAAGCAAAAAGAGGCTTTTTAAAGAAGGAATTCTGCCCCAGACCAGATCAGAGATCTGACTAAGATTCTAGCCTGTTGATCTTTTCGACTCTTACAGTCACATTAGCTAATCCCTTAAAGTCAATCGAAATATGATAGACAGGTAGATAAATGGATAGATGGATGGATAGATAGATAGGTGATAGATAATAGGTAGATGGCAGATAATAGGTAGATAAATATATAAATTCATACACACATACATGATAGATAGATAGATAGATAGATAGATAGATAGATAGATAGATAGATAGATAGATTAGCCAAAGTTCTATTGCCATGAAGAGACACCATAACCATTGCAACTATATAAAGGGAAACGCTCATCATTGTGACAGAGACTAGCTTACTCTTTAGTTCACTGTCATCATGGCAGGAAGCACACACGCAAGCAGACATGGTGCTAGAGAGGTAACTGAGAGTTTACAGCCAGATCAGCAGGCAGCAGGAACAGAGCAAGACACTGGGCCTAGCTTGAGTTTCTGAAACTCCAAAGCCCACCTTCAGTGTCAGGCTTTCTCCAACAAAGCCACACCTCCTAATCCTTGTCAAGTAATGTCACTCCCTAATGGCCAAGCACTTAAATATATGAGCCTATGGGGGCCATTTCTATTCAAACCACCACATAGATATATAGAAAGAAAGAAAGAAAGAAAGAAAGAAAGAAAGAAAGAAAGAAAGAAAGAAAGAAAGAAAGAAAGAAAGAAACATAGATAGATACATAGATACATAGATAGATGATAGCTAGATAGACAGACAGAGAAATAGACAGATGATTTATAGATGTTATGATATGATAAAGCTATAGAAATATATAAATAAATATATAACTATAGCTCTCATTATTTCTGTTTCTCTGGAAAACCCTAACTGATCAATACAGTCTCTCAGGCTGGTTCAGAATTCCTCCTTTCTCCAGCCTTACCTTGGAGGCCCTAGTATGCTCCACAGCTGCTCAGAACTAATTTATAATAGGGCCAAACTGAGTGAGAAAATGAGTTCTGGCATCAACAACTTACACTGAGCAGACCTGACAGTTTATGTATTTATTTCACAAATATTTACTGAGTACATTCTGTGTGTGAGGCCCTGTGCTTAGAAAGTACCAGAACCTTAATTGGTGAGAGAACATTCTTGAATTGGCTGCAGCACAGGAGAGCTGGGAAGAGTGTGTGCTCACCGAGCACAGCTGTATGAGGATGCTTCTGCCAGGCAGTCTGCCTCCAGAGCCCCGTATCAACTACACAGAGAAGCTGCCTTCAAAATAATAGTACCAATGTGATGAAATTGAGGTTAAATAATGGGTGTTTACTGTTTTGTGAATTTTCTCTGATTGATGGTTATCTTTGAGCAAAAAAAAAAAA